CCTCTCTGGGACGCCTGCTTGGTATGGTCCGCTCCTCCCCTATCCTACGTCTCAGCGATGGTAGTATCTATTGGGAGAAGGTCAAATGACTCCGCATGTCTGCCTCTGTGTACATTCCCGCGTTGGTGCACGCCTGATGAAGAAACACTACTAATACTAACAAAAAAAAACCCGAATCTCTCCGAAGCGGCTCCTCGCAGTGCGTCCCTCTGAAAGTAAGTACCGATGTGCGGCGGCGTGCTGCTTATTTCCGAAACCATTCACCCGGTTTATATTTTTATACGGCCGGATTAGTCGTTTCCTTATAAAGGTTTAATGTTTGTAAAGTGTTGTGTTTCCGTGCAGCTGGTGTGGCTCTGGAGCCCGGATGGTTTAAAAATAGTTGTTTTAGGGTGCTGGTTTTGTGACGCTTCCAGACGGTGCAGGTGAAATTCAGGTGAACGGTCGCTGTGGTTCTTCCTAAACTCGCCATTGCGTGCTGTTTGTGGCGATTAACTGGAGTTTTACTACTGTCAAGAGCTTGCTTCTGTCTCTTTTACCTTTTAGCATTACTAATAACGTGTGTGCATCAGCCATTTCTCTGTCCTATAATACATTTCTGAGGCTTGGTGAATAAATACACCAGCAAAAGTAGGTTGGGACTCCCTGCAGAAATATTATAGGGACATTTAAAGATACCAGAGGAGGATTAAGAGAGCATTAAGGTCACTGTAGACTTTTTACACAATATTATACAGGCAAAATAAAGTAATAAAATAGAAATACCAGAAATTGATAAATAAACTCAGAGATGTCTATATGAAATACTTTATTTATTATTAAGTATTTTGTTTTAATGAGTTGATTATTGGATGTTTACTGTCTTTGCTGTCTGTGGCATCTGAGGTGAGTGTTAATGTGGGGGTGTGGAAAGTTCATTCCTCAGCAACTAGAAAGCTCTGAGGAAGGGAGACTTAATGAAGTGAGTCATCAGAGTCAGCCCAAAACTCCCCCCCTGCAGGGTAGCATGTAGCTAAGCCTATTGCACCATTGCATAATGCAATAAGGTATAGCCCCATAAGGTGCACAGTGAGCCTCATGGTGGGGAGCTCTATATTGTCCACGCTCCTTAGGCTCTTATTATGCATCCTAATGAAACATATCAGTCCAGAGCGAGGTCAGCATGTTCAGGCACCGTACTACTGTCCAGGGACACAGCGTGCTTTGTTGCTCTATTCTGTAGTTTGTTCAGTGTTGGTGAGACATTCAAGGTCGATTGAAAGCAAAGTGAGATGGAGTGTTAAAAGTCATGCTGATGAAAATGTGTCAATATATGATGATGGCTTGTCCACATCAGTCAGAAAACATTGACTCTGTTCATGATTGCAACTTAACCAGGGCTTCTGTTCATTTTTCCTATTAATTCTCTCTAAAAGGACTCGGACATCAGCTGCAACTAACAAGCATTTTCACTGCTGATTAATCTCTCAAATATTTTTCTCGATTAATCGTTTTGTCGGAAAAATGTTTTTTTTTCCAACTAATGGAGATATTTACTATACTATTGCATAAGATTAAAAAAGCAGAAACTCTTCACCAGTGAGAAGCTGGAATCTGAAAGCTGGAATTTTTTTTCTTGAAAAGTGATTCAACTGTTAATCAATTGTCAAATAGTTGCTGATTAATTTTCTAGTTTTCAGCTCTAAGTAATTTCCCTATAAGCACCTTGCAGTTGTTAAACAGAAATTTGGACTAATCTTATGAAATCCACTTGTTGAGAACCTGTCATGTTAAGAGAAAACAAGAAGCATCCCTTCTATCACTACTGTGAAGGATGTCTGTGACACACACACACACACACACGCACTTTGAATGATGACTCTCATGATCAAATTATGCATGGTCCTGCTGGCTTTGATTAATCCTTCACCCTGCCATCTTGCTGTTACCAATTGATTACTGCATTGAGATTCATGTTGATGAAACTGAACTACATTCACTTAGTAGAAATTATTATGTACGTGTTATTTTAAAAAGAAACAAATTAAATTAGTGGACTTCTAATAAAAATGTATTTCAAGTAAATCAAGCTGTGCTTTCATGCTTTTGATGCTTTGTTTTCATGCTGATAAGCTGAAGCTGTACGGGATGAGGCTTGATGTTGATCGAGATGGCTACAGCAGAATTCAGTATCTCTCAGATTCATCTGCAAAAGGCTCTAAAGTCATGTGGTGTTTTAACAGCTGCAACTATCTCATCCATCTCTGCACCCTCATTAATGCATACACACGCACACAGGTAGAGGCGAGAACCTCTGCACTACCCTGAGGAACACAGACAAACACAGAATTACTGACATCAGAGCCGACTTGTTGCCAGGCAGAGTATTTCCTGAAAACACACATTGTGAAAAATTAGTTTATGAGTGTTAAGCTGTTGCTGTTTTTACACTCGTTAGTAAGGCGAGGCGTTTCCTATGACAATAATAGAAACTGATGCTGTTTGACCTTGCATTACATGAAGGTAAATCAGTGGCTCTGTATAATTGTGTGCTCTGTGCAAATATAAGTGGTACCACGGGGGTCCTGTGGTTTCGGAGTACTGCAGTTTTATGTAAAATGGCCTGGAATAACGTTCTCTGAGTCATTATTGGCTCTCTTTTGTTCTATAATAGTGCCATGTAGCCAGTGAGGATTTGTTATTGTACGTATTTGTAATACTTATGGTTCTCCAGTGGTTCTCCAGTGGTTCACTGAGAGCCCTTAAACCAAACAGACCAGAGGGAGCAACCATAACTGGTGGACACAGAGCCTTAAATCTGGCTTTGTAACTGGCCAGTGCTAATCCATGTTCAAACTCGACTTCAACTCACAGAAGTTGTGGCAGTGAAAAAGAATAAAGAAGCGTTTGAGGCTGAATGATGGCTGCGTAGTGCCACGTGAGAATGATAATCTTAAAGAGGGTTTTGTCTGCAACCAAAAGTACCTTCCCTCTGATCATGGGCCAAAGTTTTGACTCTGTTGAGCACTTTGTTCAGGCTTCATGACAACATTTTAGTTGCAGTCTCCTAATGTGCCATTTGACAGGCTAGAAAAAGTATATAGTATTAAAACATTGTTTGACTCGTGAAATACATGAAAATGAGTGATGGCAAACTACTGGTACATGGCAGATTCAGCAGCTAGATGGAATCATTTTAATTCCTTAAAAGCAACAGTTTGTCTAATATCTGCAGTCACTGACTAGCATAAAAGAAGTAACTGATAAATTGAGAGCATCATTCATTAAACTCAGTTAAAGGCACACTGTGGAGTTTTCTTAGACACAAACAAAAGTTATCTTTACACCCAACGTTATATACCAAAACTCATGGTGTGCATCCTTGAGGTCAACAAACTTGTCCAGTGCATTTCCTTCTTTACAAAACCTCTGTTTTATTTATTTTTAAACTGTCCTGTATTTTAAAACCTGCATTGTTTACCTCCATGTTTACTAGCCTGCAGTCTTCTTCCCTTCCTTTGCCGGAGCATTGCTGCATTTCTTGGCACATCACCGCCACCTGTAGATTGGTGGAGTAGTGTGAAACCATTGACCGGCCTGTGGAGAAGTCCTTGTGAGTTCAAAAACTCTACAGGTTACCTCCATATATCCAACACAGTGCATGTTCTTGAGACTCTGTTGTTGATCAGTCGTTTGGTGTATAAATCAAAATATATTGAGGAGGTTGTTTCCTCTGACAGACCCTAAACTAAAGATATTCAAGTGTTATTTAAAACATTCAAAACCAGCAAAATGTTTGGAATTGTTGCTTGGAAAAAGAAAGGATAGGATAGGATAGGAATTTTTCTCTTTTGTTCAAAACTTACTGGTATTAATTAAGAAGGTAGTAAATGATATTGGCAAGCGGTTGCGTGTGCATTTGAATTTGGTCCTGGTGCCAGCAGTAAAACTGCTAGATGAAGGGATTTATACAGCTTTTTTGTTCTTTTTTAGCTTTTGCAATTATTAGTTTTTCAAAGGCTGTACTTTTTGGTGATGCTGAGTTTTTGGAGTAATGGAGAAGTGTGGTGTTGCAAAACATTAGAGAGACAGATGGAGAGGGAGGGAGGGAGGGGAGGGTCTTGAATCCACAAGAAAGCAATTAGATAATGACAAGGGCAGTGACACAGTGATTTGTTGCCTTCTGTTGTAATGTGATTCCAGGAATCCAGCTGAAAATTAATTTTAAGGCTTCCAAGAAATACATTCTTCCATTATGTTGCTTTATGGGTCCATACTGGCTTTAGCATTGTTTATAAAGATGCACCAGAGATGCCAAGACAGGATGATTCTTTTATCCCATTGTGATGCTTTAAGTGCAGTGTGGTTTGTTAGAAATGATTTGTGTCTACATGTAGGAGTTTTGATGTGCAGAAAGTTCCAGTTCTCTGTGATTTACTTCGTATCTATAGAAAGCTGTAATCACGCAGCCAGACTGCAGGCCTTAAAGAGGCTTCCTCCAGCATTTTAAACACCCAGAGGAATGTTTTGTTTTCTCACCCTTCTCTGTGCGATTTTCATATCTTTTGTCTGGCTCCTTCACTGCTATCCCGCCGTCTAATGATGATAATCTCAAAAGAGACTTACGGAGGAAAATCCTCAGCCCTCTTAAAAAAAGAACAGGTGAACAATAGTGGAGGACCTACTGTATCAGTTGTAGGATGTAGTTTTCATGGTAGCAGGGCGGGCTTGGTCTGGGTCCATAATGGCTTTACCAGTAAACAGAGCCATGGGACTGGTTGGAGGATTACAGAGGATTTGCCATGCTAAGCCACAGGAACCCAGCCCAGTGACCTCCTCATGCCTCCTCCTCCTTTGAGCACAGCAACAAACCACCATCCTTTTCTCCCTCCTCCCAGTCTACTTGGCCCACGATGCATCGGGGACAGCCATGTGACCCAAATCGCTGATTATATGGATAGGATAAAGGATGGCGGAGGCTGTCTTTGGATGTTGATGTTTCATAAAGTGATTAAATCTGTTTCCCTCGAATTGGTTTGAGAGTGATGAATCTGCGCTCATTTCCTCTGTTCTGTTT